GGTTGGAAGGCAGCGGTGGGCAATCTGCCATTGCAAAGATGTAATTTTTACCGGCCTGATTTTGTTGTTTTTAAACCACTTGATGGGTGTGAGAAGCGATCGATCCACATTCAGGTGTCGGGCCCATCTATCATTAATTTGGTCCCGGAGCCCCCTCTTCGGCCGAAGCATTTTGTAAGTGGATCTGACGAAGAGGGCGTGCAGGCTGATTTTTTTGTTTGTCTTTGTTGTAGCTCTCCAGGCCGGCTGCCACTGCCACTCTTGTGGATCCATTGGCAGCTCGTGTATGGGTGTTTGTGGTTGGAAGACAATGGGGCCCTCTCCCTCGTCCAACACCCTCACTCTAAATGATTTCGCGAACCTTGGAGTCCCCCCCTCGCCCTAATAGCGTAATATTCCACTAATACCTCGGAGGCCCGCACCAGATGGACCTTTCCCATTCGATCTCCCTCGTCTACCAGAGCCACCCAGTCCCCCTCCTCCAAGGTAGGCCCCCTCCTCCAAGGTAGGCCCCCTCCTGAGGAGCCTGTACCAGGCTAGGGGGATTGTTTCGAGTATCATTTCCCTGTGTTCTTCCACACCGTGGCAGTATCGGAGGGAGTCCCGAAGTTGGGGTACCGTCTTCCAATCGTTTCTTTCCTGGTCCCACAAGTGCCCGACCCTCAGCACCCCATTTTTGACCCAACCTTTGCAAGGGGCTGTTGAACTGTGTAAGATCTGCCCATGGTGGGGGGCGATCCACCGATTACCAAACAACGGTTGCCGGTATACTTCTTCCAACGCTCTGGTGGCCGCTTCTCTGGGGGGGGTATCCTGCGCCAGCTCTTCAGCAGGGTCGGCCAGAACATGTCCACCTCCTGACCATAAATTTTGTGGGGGATTGACCAGTAGCGGTCCTCTATCCAAGTAAGCGGGTGGATCGCTGGTGGGGCGGGCCGGGTTAGATGGGCAATATGTTCCAGAGCCAAGGCCCGCCATGGGCTTTCCAGGGAGAAGATCAACATTTTCACCCACTTAAGTCGAAGGGCCTGTACCTGTATTGTCGGATCTATTATGCCCAGCCCCCCTACACTCTTTGGTTGTGTAATTGATTCCCATGCCACCCGGCTGATGACATTCGTCCTCTCATGATCACCCCTCCATAGGAAGGATGCCACCTTCGCCCTCAGGTTTCGGAAGGCGGCTTTACTTAATGGCCACACCACTGATTTGTACCACAGCGTGGCGAACAGCACGTTATTTATGACCAGAGCTTTGCCGAAAACCGATGTGTGCTTATTTCGCCAATTAGCCAGCTTGGTCAATGCCGGTGTGCAGATCCCCAATCATCATTGGTTGGGGGGCGTCCTTGTGCAGTCATGGACACCCCCAGTATGCGTGCCGGGGTATTATGGCAGCCACTGCACGTTAGGGGAGTCGGGCGGTCTGCTTCCTTGGTGGTGAATTCACCATCCTTGGGTTTTACTTCCCCAGTTAACCACCATGTTGGATACCTGGGCGAACCTGTCCATCAGGCGTCGAATCTCTTCCATATTCTCGTGTGTTGCCTCCACCATGATGGTGAGATCATCCACAAACAGTGAGCACACCGGAACGGCATCCTCGGGGATTCGAGCGATTTTAATTCTTGTAATATCCTTGTTTGTCCGCAGATTGGATGATAGAGCTTCCATAATTATTAGGAAGAGAAAAGGCGCCAGGGGATCTCCCTGGCGTACTGATCTTTCCAACCTGATCGGCGGGGCCAAGGTTCCATTTATTTGTATTCTTGTGGTGGCATTCCGATGCAGGATCCCTACCCACCTACGAAAGGTTGGCCCAAAAACCACCCCCTCAAAATTAGGATTTATTTTATTTTAATTTTTTTTGTACAGGCCGATAGCGGCCGACGTGCGCAGGCCGAGCGTGAACGCCGATTTTGAGCGCGCGCCCCCGCCTAGGCGTGGCACGGTCGTGCGCAGACTCGGTTGCGGGCCCGCGGCCCGCTGCGGCCGAGGCTGCAAGATCCGCAGCTGACGGGGTCACATAGCTGGTTGGACCTGAATGGTGGTTCTAAAAACAATAAAAGTTTTGTAGAAGTGCTTGCTGCGTTAGAAGATATGTGACATCCAACCTCACGTCCAATGCAACTTCCTGTTTTCGAGTGGGAGGGGGCCCGAAAGTGCCACACGGGCCTGCAGGGGATGACCAGGCAGAATAAGGGCCCTCCAGGCCCTGTGTCATTTCAGCCTAAAAGCCTAAAAGGAGGGCCGATTTTAGGCCCTCATAAAGTCGACCTTTCCTGAAACTTAGGCGCCAAACCAGGGATAAGTGCAGGCCACTTTTAGGTCCGTTTCAAGACAACCTTTTCTTGAACTTCAGTGCCAGGGTCTGGCACGATTCGGCATTGGCAAGAGCAGCCTGCCAGTTGGACCAGCACCATATGGTACTGGTCCGCCCTGCAAGCAGGAGGCAGTCCGGGAGGTAGTCTTCAGGATGCGGCAACAGCACTCTTGGGAGCGCTGCAGTAGTAGTAGCTAGGAGTAGTCTTCAGCGCTGGGCGCTTAGAGTAGTGTTAGAGAGGGAGGAGAGTGGCGGAGGCCAGGGACTTACCTGGGAGCTTACCTGTGTCCCCATCGCTCCAGCTTTTGTCTTCGAGGTACCTGCAGCAAGGCGCCACCTTCACAGGTTAGTACCGGCACCAGGAGAGAGAGAGAGAGAGAGAGAGAGAGAGAGAGAGAGAGAGAGAGAGAGAGAGAGAGAGAGAGAGAGAGAGAGAGAGAG